TGACCTATATTTATTATGTCTTTTTTCATCCCAGGTGACACCTTCAAGTGATTAAAATGCTTCCCTTTGAAGTTAGTATCCTAGCTGATTTTTAAATTGTATAGAGGTATATTAAAGGGCGAACACAAAATTATTGCGACACATTCAACAGGGCATAACCTGAGTGGTGCGAAGACGGACCTCAAAATCGAACCACTTTCGAGCTGTCAAATCGAACCACTTTTTTATCATTGTGGTTCGTTGAAATAGATAGAAGTATTGTTATCGTCCAAAATAAAAAATAAATATTTTTCAGTAATGTTTTTGATCTTTTTAAAAACGTGATTCGAAACGACTCAAACAATTAAAAATAACAGTATTATTGCGTATTTTGGACCAAAGTAGACTCCTGCGCTGAAAAAAACCCCTCCGATTTTTTTTCGCTCAGGAACGACTGTGACTTCGGAGAACGTTCTAACGAGATTTGTGATGATAGTACAAAAGTTCCAGGAAATTTCAACAGATTTTTCCCGCGACAGAAGAGGTTTCAGTGGATATTTTAGTTGCTGCCAGCGAGTTTCACACGATTTGGAGGGAAGTCAAATCGTTGCCATTGGAGGTCGCAGGGAATTTCGACAGCACTTCCATAGATATCGTCGGCCACATAAAATTTGCATCTGATTTGCAACAATTTATACAAATAAAAATTACTATGTTTGATTGCAAGTCAGGTAGAGGATGTGTCAGGGTTTTATTCTTTCTTGACTTCCCTGAAATGAAAAGTATATTTTGTATATTTCGTACTGCTGAATCCTTGGGAAACCTGAATAAGCTTCGCTTTTCGTCGTGTACATCTTTATAATTGCAAAAGTGAGCAAAACACTTCATTCTGAATTTTATTCCACTCCGTAAAAACTCCAGCTATGAACAATGTTACCAAACAATCACAAAGTCACGAATCGGCTCTGCACAAAAAGCCGTTTGACACTTCTCTCTACCAACCGACGGTGATGAAACGTTTATTTCAACACTACCAACATGAAGAAAATTTCACTTCGCACCACTCAGGGCATAACTTTTTTACCATTGGGTAAAAATCAACCAAATTTTGCACACTTTCTCATTTATGTGTATTGTGTACATGCTGTCAAACTCGAAATCGTGTTTTTCGATTCAACGAAAATGGAGGTGAACCAACGCGAGTTGAGAGAACAAATTCTTTCCAAACACCTGGAATTTCCTGACCTGTCGCACCGGCAGTTGGGAAAAATGTTGAACATTCACCATTCAACCAACAATCAATACGAAACTAACGATTTTAAATTGGCTCACCACTTTAGTAGCCTATTGGTCCCAAGCAAACGATTAACGTACCCTATTCTAGTTGAAATTCTATTACTACACTATGTTTGTTTTGATTCGCTATGAAAGTTTGACAGATAACATCAGGGGTGTGTGGATTCATGCAGAACATGCAGGGGTGAGTGAAATAGCTTGGGACTGCTTGGGACCGTTGTTCTGGTACTGAGTGAGCCAAAAATAATAATGATTTTCTTCGGGACCCAGTGGTCTTAGAGTTACCTCTATGATTCAACCGTCTCCAGAGTGTTGAAGCGGTTCCAGGAGCGGTTGACGTTGGACCACGGCAAAGGAGCTGGAAGAAAACCGGGACCGGAGAACAAAAAGACGGAGGGAAAGGTGAAGCGGATGATTAAAGCAAATCCCAACGTCTCAAGCCGTGATTTGGCTAAAAAGATCGGCAGGTCGCAGAGCTACGTCCAGAATGCAAAGAAGAGAGCTGGACTACATACATACAAGGTACAGAACTTCCCAAACCGCGATGAGCGGCAACAATCGACGGCTAAAACTCGGGCACGGAAGCTCTACGAGAAGATGCTGACAAAATATGGCTGCTGTGTGATGGACGACGAAACGTATATAAAAGCCGATTTTAAGCAAATTCCGGGGTTTGAGTTTTTCACCGGCAAGAGCAAGTTCGATGTGGACGACAAATTTAAGAAGAAGAAAATATCGAAGTTCGCCTCCAAATATCTCATTTGGCAGGCCATCTGCTCTTGCGGACTGAGGAGTGAGCCTTTCGTGACAAAGGGCACAGTAAATGGCGAGATCTACAAATCTGAGTGCCACGAGAAGCGCCTTTTGCCGTTCTTGCAGCAGCACGACGAAGCTCCGCTATTTTGGCCAGATTTGGCATCATGCAACTATTCTAAAAGTGTCCTGGAGTGGTATGAGGCCAATTCTGTCCATTTTGTTCCAAAGGACATGAATCCGCCAAAATGTCCGGAGCTGCGCCCGGTGGAGCAGTACTGGGCAATAATGAAACGGGAACTTCGGAAGAGCAAGAAGACAGTCAAATACGAGAAGGACATGTTAAGAAAATGGAAAAAAAAAACTGAGAAACTGGTACCGGATGACACTGTAAAGACTTTGATGGAGGGCATCAAGCGAAAATGCGTTCAATTTTACACTCAAGGCTCCATCGATTAACTTTTCTTTTGATTTTTGAAGTAAATATATGTATAAAACTACCCTAAAATTTTGGTTTGATTCTAAACATTATAAAAAAATTGGCATGACATTTTCGGTGTCGCAATAATTTCGTGTTCGCCCTTTAGACTGATGCAAAATTTGACTTTTTCGCTCCACAATACTTAAACGATTCCAAATCGGATCCTGACTAACCTCTCAAAATTTGAACCCCTTTGGTGAGAAACTGAGATGGCACAAACCATTTGAAGTTTATATGGGAATTACTATGGTAAAACCAAGATTTTTGTTCATGTCTATCTAATAATTCACCATATCGGTCTGCTTCAAAAGATTTCAACTGTACTTGTAGGAAATTTTCCCAGTTACAACTTTACTTTTTGATTAAATGCAAGGATCGAAAGTTATCAATGGTTCAATGCTGTCCGATACTGAACCACCCAGAGCACTACATCCCTGGCTGTTAACCACCGTCGCTGCTACAGCTGATCTGCAGGCAACAAAGGGAATGGACTACGAGTCGAGATGGGTCTATTGTCCGGTCTCCGCAGCGCAGACGTAAGGGATAGCAGCCAACATCATCATCCAGCTACCTACGGTCGGTCGGCATCGAGAGCGGCAGATGAGACGAGCGAAAACTGTTCGAAGCGAGGATGGACCGAATGGACGGAGATTTGTACAGCGCGAGAGGGAGATTTGGTCTACGCGATCATGGGTCAAGCGATGACCAGATAGCGAGTTTGAATTTAGTTGGTTTCGGTAGCCGTTGAAGACGGTCGATGCTCCCATCGGGGACGAACATTTTAAATTGTTAGAGTTAAGTTGTTGTTCTGTGTAGTAAATGTAGTAAAGGGAATAAATGTAGTTTTATACTTGTGTCGCGAGTTTGCCAAACCAAGTGATTGCCCAGTGTACTAATTTGGGAGAAACATCAACCGGATGGTTCCGAAGAGACCAGAGGAAATCCAATCGCCATTACGTCCAGTATCCCCGCACCTCACTCCCCCAAGGAAAACTACCAGCAGCCAACCAGAACACAGGCGGTAATTAACCAACCGGTCTCGCCCCCCAAGCAGTGTTGGAGTCGGCGGATGATATCCACTGCCAATCGAAGGAGGTAAGAGCCGATAACCAACATTTGGTCCTTCGAGCCGGATCCCTAACCCGGGGACCAGTTGGACGGAATAATTGTGCGCCACGCCGAAACCAACAGCGCCGAACTGTGAGCGCTATCGCACCCGCGGAAAATCGCCATCGCGAGGCAAGTGCACAATCGACACATCGCCATCGCGGATCCCAGGCTCCTTTGGTGGATCGCCATTGCCAGTCGGTGATAATAGGACAATTGTCAGCTTTGTTCGGAGACACATTGCGCCATCACCGATCAGCAAACTGGATGGAAAATCGAACCCATTTTGGATTATTGGATTTGGAGTGCGAATACATGCTGGTGGATGCTGTGAATCTTTGGAGGACTTTCGTTGCATGCAGTCAACATCGGCCGATTTTGGATCAACCCCTGGCTATCCCTTGCTGAGCTGGAGTACCGAATCAGCAGGAATATCTGCTTGCCCAGGTAAATATTCACAAGTTCGGTGTATGTCTAGCCGAAGCATTGACTGCATGATTCTAACGCAAACCTTTCGACGCATGCTATTGGATTCGTTACATGAACGGAGCTCTATTCGGTGGTACCGAGAGCTGAGGACGGCTATCCAGCCGGCTATCAACGGACAGTTCGACTACGAAACGGTTGTGCATTCCGCATAAGCCGTTGGACCTGAAGGACGATTGCTGTGAACGGTGGCAGAAGAGGGAGCGGCCATTTACTCCCTCCCCGGTGAGTGAACCTTTTTGTATATGTTACTGCCGAGCTAGGCTATACAGAAATACACCATTTTAATTGGAATTCCCGTAAAAACCTCTTCAATTAACGCCACGCAAGCCCTGCAATTTGAACTGCTCGTTAGAGCAAGTCTGCTGATAATCCCAATTTGCATCCTCGACTGGTTTTTCGTTTCGGTTGGTGAAGCCGTTAGTCCTCCAGGTTAGTTCTACGGTATATGTCCTACCGAAGCTAGCCATACGATTGCTACATATCGATTTTCCTCTTCGTACTACAACCTATACACACCTACGTTCTGGAGTCGCATTATCCACCGATCCGCCGAATCCACCGAATTTGGGCAATTTGTATTGGTACTGCTGTTGGTACCTCCAGGTAGGTTGCCACAGTATATGCCCAGCCGAGGCCAGGCTTTCGTTGGATATTACACCCCCGCTTTCTCCTCTTCTTTGAACTTCAACCTGAACTGAGCGATCCCTACCGAGGCAAGATTGATGTGACGTCACCGGACCTTTTGCTACTTTTGGTTCAACTTGGATTTGCAGTAGAACAGTTACCTGTTCTGTCAGGTCAGTAAAAGCGAGCAGTATATGTCCGCCGAAGCGGAGACTATACGCGGTATACTACACCACTACTTCTTTTACCGATTGCTCGACATCACATCATCATGCCGCCCATCACCCGGAAAGGATCAGCAACCCTGAAGCAGCTGAAGATTCAATTGGACGATTTGAAATCTTCGTTCGATGACATTTCGTCTTTCATTCAGAAGTTCTCTGATGAAACAACCGCCACTCAGGTAGAAGTTCGGTTATCAAAAATTGAAGAATTGTGGGAGAGATTTAGCGAGAACTTGGTTGAGCTAAAATCTCAGGATGATTTTGAGGATGAAGAGGGTTATTATGCAAAGCTTCGCAAACAGTTGAGCGATCGGTACTATGAATCCAAAACTTTCCTATTGGACAAGAGTAAGCTGCTTCGGGAACCGTCTGAACTGGAAAAGTCTACCCATGAGCCGAAAATGCAAGGTGTGGTTGATCATGTCCGATTACCACAAATCAATCTCCAGACGTTCAGCGGGGACATCGACGATTGGTTGAGTTTTCGGGATCTATTCACCTCGTTGATTCATTGGAGAACCGACTTGCCCGAGGTGGAGAAGCTGCATTACCTTAAAGGGTGTCTTCAAGGGGAGCCGAAAAGCCTGATCGACTCGTTGAAGATCACCAAGGCGAATTACCAGATCGCTTGGGACACGCTATTGAAGCGATATAACAACAACAAGTTGCTGAAGAAGAAGCAAGTCCAATCATTATTGAAGCTTCCGACCCTAAGTAAGGAATCCGTATCCGAACTGCGCAACTTTGTTGAAAGCTTCGAACGTAACATTCAAACCCTCGATCAGATCATCGAACCAGCGGACTACAAGAACCTGTTGCTGGTAAATCTCATCACCATGCGGTTGGATCCATACACCCGTCGTGCCTGGGAAGAATGTTCGGCCTCCAAGGAACAAGATTCGCTGGAGGAGCTCACGGAATTCCTTCGTAAGCGGATCCAACTACTGGAATCACTCCCTCCAAGGCAAGCAGACTCCAAGGGCGTCCACAACCAACAAACGGCTCCAAAACCCAAATTTCCAGCGCTGAAGGCCAGTTACAATTCCGTTCAATCGAGCGGGGGAAGATGTGTGGCTTGTGAGGACAACCACCTTCTATATCAATGCTCCGCATTCCAACGACTATCCGTGGCGGACAGGGACTCACTATTGAAATCCAACGGACTCTGCCGAAATTGCTTCCGATCCGGTCATCAGGCAAAGGATTGCCAATCCAAGTTCTCCTGTCGGAAGTGTAATCGTCGGCACCATACCCTAGTGTGCTTCCAACCGGAGAAGGGCGCTACCATGGCCGCAGCAGCTGCTGGGAGGAATAATCTCTCAAACTCTCAAGGTTCCAAGAGCTCCAATTCGAATCAACCGGCTAGCGGGGCGACCACGAACACCACGACATGCAATGTGGCTCAGAAGATTTCATCGCCAGTCCTACTAGCGACTGCGGTGGTCATCGTCGAGGACGACTTTGGTACAAGGTTCAACGCTAGAGCTCTTCTGGACTCTGGCGCTGAAAGTAACTTCGTTTCGGAGCGACTGAGCCAACGAATGAAATTATCCAGAGAAAGGGTCGACATTTCAGTTCTTGGTATAGGGCAGACAACCAGCAAAGCCAAGTACCAGGTTCAAATGATGGTTCGCTCGCGAGTTTCGGAATATTCGCGGGATATGAGCTTCCTAGTATTACCCAAGGTTACCGTGAATTTGCCCACAACCCCAATCAACATGGAAGGATGGAAGTTACCGGATGGAATCCAATTGGCGGATCCAGCTTTCTTCCAATCCAAGGGAGTCGACATCATCCTAGGCATCGAGAATTTCTTCGAGTTCTTCGAAACTGGGCGAAGACTTTCTATCGAGAACCATCTCCCAAACCTCGCGGAATCGGTATTCGGATGGGTAGCCAATGGTGGCTGCTCAACACCAAGCAGATCCACTCAAATCAGCTGCCATTTCTCAGCCACTATGGAACTGGAGAAGCTGATGGAACGGTTCTGGTTATGCGAAGAAGTAGAATTCTCCAATTCCTTTTCTCCAGAAGAAAAACTCTGTGAGGAGCTGTTCCAACGTGGGGTCCAAAGAGGTTCGGACGGTCGGTACACTGTTCCCTTACCAAAAAATGAAGAGGTTCTTCCAACTCTTGGCGAGTCACGGGACATCGCATTCCGACGTCTTCTTGGAACAGAACGACGGTTGGCAAGGGATTCCAATTTACGGGAACAGTACGTCGCGTTCATGGATGAATACCTGAAATTGGGGCACATGCGAAGGGTCGAAGACGTCGCAACGGAGTCAACCAAACGGTGTTATCTACCTCATCATCCGGTGGTCAAGGAGGCGAGTACCACCACCAAGGTCAGGGTTGTCTTCGACGCCTCATGCAAGACATCATCCGGAGTGTCCTTGAACGATGTGCTTCTGGTGGGACCAGTTGTGCAGGAGGATATGAGAGCAATCATTCTACGGAGCCGGACAAAGCAGATTCTCCTCGTATCGGATGTTGAGAAAATGTTTCGGCAGATCCTTACTTCGTCAGTGGATCGACCACTACAGTCGATACTCTTCCGGTTTTCACCCGACGAGGACGTTACGGTATACGAGCTAGAAACCGTCACGTATGGAACCAAACCCGCTCCCTTTCTAGCAACTCGTACTCTTCAGCAGCTGGCAGCTGACGAAGAAACCCGTTTCCCGCTCGCAGCAAAGGCAATTCGTGAGGACGTCTACATGGACGACGTAATCACTGGCACGGATGAGCTAGAAACAGCTATCTCCCTCAGATCCCAACTAACGGAGATTATGGAAAGCGGTGGTTTCAAGCTCAGGAAATGGTCCTGCAATATTCCCGCAGTTTTGGAAGGCGTACCCACGGAGAATCTGGCTATTCCCAATAGTACCGGAATCAACCTAGATCCGAACCAATCGGTCAAAACGTTGGGCCTGACATGGATGCCCAACACCGATACCCTACGATTCCAGTTCGAAGTCCCGCAGTTAGATCCTCATATCCCACTAACGAAGCGCCGTATCCTATCACTCATCGCTACGTTATTTGATCCTCTTGGCCTGATCGGAGCTACGACAGCATCTGCCAAAATCTTGATGCAGCACCTGTGGACGCTAGAGGACAGAAACGGTAACCGGTTGGATTGGGATCAACCAGTACCTCCAACGGTGGGTGAGAACTGGCGGAAATTCCACGAAAAACTTCCACTTCTGAACCAAATTCGTGTCGATCGTTGTGTTATCATACCCTATGCCACGGCCGTGGAGATGCACTGCTTCTCGGATGCTTCTGAAAGGGCGTATGGTGGTTGCATCTACCTACGAAGTCAGGATTCCAGCGGAGCAATCAAGGTTCGACTCTTATCATCCCGATCCAAGGTGGCTCCACTCCGTTGTCAGTCTATCCCTCGATTAGAGCTCTGTGGTGTGCTCTTATTGTCCCAGCTATACGAGAAGGTCAAAAACTCTATTCGGTTGGCGGCTCAGACGTACTTCTGGACGGATTCCACATGTGTGCTGCGTTGGATCGAATCTACACCAGCAACTTGGACCACGTTCGTTGCCAACAGGGTGGCAAAAATTCAAACGCTAACGGAAGGATGGCAATGGAGACACGTACCCGGTACAGACAACCCAGCGGACCTAATATCACGTGGAGTGTCACCTGAAGACATCGTCCACAACGAACTCTGGTGGGAAGGTCCGTATTGGTTGAAGCAAGCTCCAGAATCATGGCCTGGTGCTGTTGAAGAAAACCTAGAAGCAGGAGAGGAAGAAAGGCGCCGCGCCGTAGTTGCGTGTACCGGATCATCCGTAGCGGAATTCAATGAAATGTACCTCAGCAAATTTGGATCGTACGCTGACCTGATTCGACGAACAGCTTATTGGCTACGGCTGATGAATCTTCTACAAATCCCAGCAGCAAATCGTTCTCCAAACGGATTCCTAACCACAGCGGAGCTGAAGGCTGCTGAAAATGCTATTCTGCGGAACGTCCAACGAGAAGTCTTCGCAGAAGAATGGAGGGTTTTATCGAAAGGAGAGTACGTATCGAGGAAGTCACCGTTGAGGTGGTTTCATCCGTTCATCTGCAAGGATGGAATCATCAGAGTAGGAGGTCGTCTGAAGAATTCCGATGAACTGGAAGGTACCAAACATCCCGCAGTATTACCAGCACGTCATCAGTTAACCCGTATGATAATGAAACATTTTCATGAGCGACTGTTACATGCCGGACCCCAACTACTATTGGGAGCGATTCGGCTGCAATTCTGGCCTCTTGGTGGGAGGAACGTAGCAAGAGAGGTAGCACATCGGTGCTTGAGATGCTACCGTACTAAACCGTCTACTGTCCAGCAATTCATGGGAGAGTTGCCATCACCTCGTGTAACAGTATCCCGACCGTTTACGAAAACAGGCGTGGACTACTTTGGCCCCGTCTATATACGACCAGCTCCGAGACGCGCGGCCGTGAAGGCCTACGTGGCAGTGTTTATCTGTCTCGGTACAAATGCAGTACACTTGGAACTCGTTTCTGACCTTTCAACAGAGCGATTCATGCAAGCGTTGCGACGATTTGTGTCGCGGCGAGGAAAATGCTCAGATATCTATTCAGATAATGGCACAAATTTCGTCGGCGCTAGGAACCAATTGACCGAACTCTTCCGTTTGCTGAAGGATCGAGAACACAACGAACGAATCGCTACCGAGCTCGCCACGGACAGTATTCAATGGCACTTCAATCCCCCGAGTGCTCCACACTTCGGAGGCCTCTGGGAGGCAGCTGTCCGGTCGGCCAAGAAACACTTGCTGAATGTTATCGGAGAAGCGGTATTTTCATTGGAAGATTATACCACGCTGCTAACGCAGGTTGAGGCCTGCCTGAATTCCCGTCCGTTAACCCCAATGTCGGATGACCCAGATGACTTGGAGCCGTTGACACCGGCGCACTTCCTTGTGGGCTCGTCGCTTCAAGCTCTTCCTGATGTCGAACATCTCACCGTCCCGGTGAACCGCCTGAATCAGTTCCAAGTGATCCAGCAGAAACTGCAGCATTTCTGGGTCCGTTGGCGACGGGAATATTTGAGCCAACTGCAGGCCAGAACCAAAAGATGGAAGCCTGCAATTCCCATAGAACCAGGAAAACTAGTTATCATCAAGGATGAAAACCTCCCTCCGATCCGTTGGAAGATGGGAAGAATCATTGCTCTACACCCTGGCGATGACAACATTACCAGAGTCGTGACCGTTAAGACTGCCACCGGTGAGCTGAGGCGTCCGGTGGAAAGGATTTGTATTCTTCCTATTCCAACCGATGAAGAAGAACACGTCACCCAGAATGTCGCGCTGTAAATCCCAATCCAAATCCCTTCCAATCTCCCATCCTTCCGAAGAGGTTTTCTTATTTCTTTTCAGAAATTTTTACGAATTTCTGGGTGGGTGAGGATGTCCGATACTGAACCACCCAGAGCACTACATCCCTGGCTGTTAACCACCGTCGCTGCTACAGCTGATCTGCAGGCAACAAAGGGAATGGACTACGAGTCGAGATGGGTCTATTGTCCGGTCTCCGCAGCGCAGACGTAAGGGATAGCAGCCAACATCATCATCCAGCTACCTACGGTCGGTCGGCATCGAGAGCGGCAGATGAGACGAGCGAAAACTGTTCGAAGCGAGGATGGACCGAATGGACGGAGATTTGTACAGCGCGAGAGGGAGATTTGGTCTACGCGATCATGGGTCAAGCGATGACCAGATAGCGAGTTTGAATTTAGTTGGTTTCGGTAGCCGTTGAAGACGGTCGATGCTCCCATCGGGGACGAACATTTTAAATTGTTAGAGTTAAGTTGTTGTTCTGTGTAGTAAATGTAGTAAAGGGAATAAATGTAGTTTTATACTTGTGTCGCGAGTTTGCCAAACCAAGTGATTGCCCAGTGTACTAATTTGGGAGAAACATCAACCGGATGGTTCCGAAGAGACCAGAGGAAATCCAATCGCCATTACGTCCAGTATCCCCGCACCTCACTCCCCCAAGGAAAACTACCAGCAGCCAACCAGAACACAGGCGGTAATTAACCAACCGGTCTCGCCCCCCAAGCAGTGTTGGAGTCGGCGGATGATATCCACTGCCAATCGAAGGAGGTAAGAGCCGATAACCAACAAATGCACTGATGTCTTATGATCATGCTCAATCAACTGCTCAGCAGGCAACATTGGTGTTTCTGGGGCGTTGAATAGGACACCAAAATCTTGGCTACTATGTCACACTGCAAAATACAGTGTTCCCTACAGAGCAGCTGCTTGATCATGTCATAAGTTTACCAATCTCTTAAATAATTAATAACTTTTTCCTGTCTCGTTTTACATAGAAACGATCTTGAGCAAAGTTGTAGCTAAGAAAATTTTCTTTAATAATGGCTATCAAACTGTTTCGCAGCTCAATATGAAAAAAGACTAGAAGGCAATCAACAAAAAGTTGAGATTTCCCATAGTAATTTACATGTAAACTTCAAATGGCTTGTGCGAAGTCTGTTTCTAACCAAATGAGTTATAACTTTGGGAGGCTAATCAGGACCCGATTTGAAACCATTTAAGCACTGTGGAGCGAAAAAGTCAAATTTTGCATCAGTCTAAGGTATATGTTCCAACTACGCTCACACGTTCCCACTATGTCGCACCACAAAAATACGTATGGGTATGTCACAATTCACAATAGAAGCACACCACAGTGGAGCCATAGTACAAACATTTATCCCAAATCAAAATAAATCATAAATAAGATTAGTTACAATACCATGCACAAAAATGGTTGTTCCCTGAGTAATACTTCAATGAAAACAACAATGAAAGCTTGTCACGCATTTAGAAGGAGCACTGTTGGACATATTCTGAAATATTTCAGTAGCATAATTCCATTGCAAACCAAATAAATCTATATGTGTGAAAATAAATAACATAAAAGAAAATAAAATAAGAGTGATTTGCGGCGCACCCAATGTCAGTGCCTATACGTAAGCGTACTACGAAGCGGCTCTCAAATAAAGGAGTAACAAATGTGATACTATCACTGCACACCAAATTCTAGTTTTGATGTTCGGTAATTTTTTTTACGGTTTTGATCTGTAAAATTTAATTTCTATTGAGTGATCTGTAAAATTGCTTTAATTTTCTTCTGTCTGTCAAATAAATACAAGTTTTCGGTAATTCCCATGAAAATATTACTGAAAATTTGCTTCTATTTTACCGATGTAGTTTGTAAGCCATGAAATGTCATTTAATCTAAACTGTTCAGTAAAAGTTTTACCGATTTCCAGTGAACAATTTATAAATACTGACGAAAAATGTAAACAATACAGGAGTTCAGTAATTATTACTGAACGCTTCAGTTAAAATCACGCCTGTCAAATCTTCGTCAATTTCACATGTTAAGCGGTGTAAAATTCAAGTGTAAATAAATTTTAAGAAAATCGTGCGCATATTAGCAGAAAAAAAAACTTGTAAACCATTGAAATGGAAGACGTGTTCGATGAGATTAGATGTGCTAGCGGCCCGATGCGGAAGTAAGGGATCTTTTCATTAAGTACCATTTATATTATCTAAATGTTTTCATTTTTTAGCACTCAAATAAAATGGCTGGCGACCGCTGACTCGTTGGATAAACAGATTGACGAATTGCATTTAATAAAAGATATAAACAATATATTGTGCATGATTTGAACGGAACAATTCCCTATATTTCACGGTTTTTCAGTAAAAACTATCGAAAGAACTGTAATTTTTGGCAGATGACGAGCTTTCTATTTTTACCGATTATTTTGTAAATTTTACCGAACTTCGGTATTGAGTGATGAGCTAGTCGGTATTTTTTGACAGTTGAGTATACATTGCAAGTTTACTGATCGTTCAGTAAACCAAACTTTTACCGAACTGATTACCGAATGTTCAGCTGTTTGAAAGTCAGTAAAATGTTTACCGACAACTGTAAAAACAACTTGGTGTGTGCCAGACTAGATCTTTGGTTCTCTCATACAGTGGTTCACCAGAGAGTGGAAGCTTAGTAATCCCCATCGCCTACCCATGTCGCCAATCTATCGCGGCATGAGCCAGCAACGCCGGCCTTCAGTCTCCAACACTCCATTATGAAGCATAAAATTAAGAATCTCCTGCATGATCGCACAATTGGTCAAAAAGACGAGCCCCCAAACAGGAAGATGCCTCATTGAGTAGGGAGAAGCCCGACCTTTATCCACGAAATGTTATCAACAGGGAGTTGGTATTCCCACTCTCCCCGTCCAAATAACTTCAATCGGGTGCCCTGTTGGACCCTCCTTCCCTTTTGTATATGTATTTAAATGTTTATGTATATGTTATATATATAATGAATCCTCGAATGAATCATCACTTATGCGAGTCGATTGTTATGATTATTGTTAATAATGCTTACATTTCGATGAAGATGATGCTACCTGTTTTACATTTTATGTGATAGGGGAAATTGCTCTAATGTTGGCCTATGGATCTAAGATTGGGCCCATGACTAAAAATCTACTATTTATCAGTTTCATCTAGCTGAACGCGTCATTAGGACGGTACTCATGGAACTCATGGATATTTTGGTCGCTATTGAAAATTTAGTCGATTGCTGAATTTATGTATGGGCCCAAATTAGGGGCATTTAGGTCGACATTACACCCATTTCCCCTACTTATTATCACAGAAGCCAACTTTGAATCGTAGACAATTCAAAGGTCCGTAGGTCCATTAACAATACACTCGTTTCGAGAAGGAGCTCTATGGTACAAATAGCCCGCCCACCGGCAGCATGGTGCAAAAACTACACTGAACCAATATGACATATTCCTGCTATGTGGAAGTCTAATAAATTTGCGCTATAAGATAATCCAATGAAAATGATATGATTGAAAATATGTGAGGTAAATTCTATATGAATATCTGATACATTTACAATGCTGATAATTTGGTAACTTTTATATGATCGTCATATGATAAATGAAAATCGGTCAAATTATAATAATTAACTGAAATGGATTTGAAACACATAAGCAAAAGCTTCACTTTTCACCACAATATAATATAGGGTAGAGAACTACTTCGGCTTAGTCGCCCATTTTGGGCCTATCGACCAGAAAACTTCAAATAAATACATGATTTCAGAGTTAACAAGTCAATTATGCGTTTGTTGCGATTCTTTAGTTAATAAGCTACCGAACGAAGTCAATGAGAACGCGTGATATGAAAGTTTGCACCCATAATTCCCAAAAACAAAAGAAGCGCTCCTACCAAATCAATTTTTATCTTCATCCGATAGGCCGAAGTGAATTCATTGGCGTTTCAATGCGTTAGACCGAGTTTAGAATGTGGCCGAGTTTGGCGTCAAGAAGCAGTGTTAGACTTTTGACAATATCTCAACGATTGGTTTTTCTTTATCAAATCTTACGGTACGTACGGAAAGGTAAATAAATTTGGAAGCCATCAGTAGTAATAACATTCCTTTTGGTGCTAAACTGCGCTAGATTAAGAAAGACTAAGTGCAGGTTGTGCTTAATAGACCGGAAATGGGGTAATTAACCCTATGTGCCATTAATCAATCGAAGTAAAGTTTATGTAAAAATCAAATGAAATTTACTTCTTCTCTTGACACATATATTTAATCGATTTCTAAAAATAAATCGAAAAATAAACATCAGGCAGTGGAAGCTTTCACAGTTGTGTCTTTTCTTATTGTAGCTGATTTGGGATTCGATCAAGAACTGTTGAGGTGTGATGCTTTCGGTGTCTGCGCTCGATTCCACTGGGCCACGGCTGACTTCAGTATTGAGCTCGTTCAATTAGCATGAAGTAAGAACAGTACTCCCGACATGGAATGTAGTGCAACGTTATGCTCGTTTTGCTAGTGAAGAAAAACAGCACTGACAAATTTATGCTCCGTTTCGGTGGTGTCGTGTATTCAAATCTTTCTTAATGCTCCTGTGTGCAATAAAACAACGACTACATTATATGAGTTCATGGAACTGGTTCAAGAATTAGCCGTATGTAGAAGGCGTACATAGAATCTTAGCAAAGCAAATATTGCAGTAGAATCATTTTTTTCAATCTCAATACATATTTTTCCGGAACCCTTTATCTTATGGAACAATAACAAACAAGGATTATTCAATACAGTATCATTGTTGCCAGCTATATTTAGTTCGACTAATCATTTTAATGAGTGTACGATAACATCATTGAAAATTGTTTCAATAATTTATGAAGAACAATCATTTTATTGGGAGCGATATTCATCCCAGAAAACCATGCCAAAACAAATGTTTGCTGTTGGATTTCTTAAAAGG